CTCTCCTCCCTCCTCCTTCCTCCTCTCTCCTCCCTCCTCCTACTTCTCCCTCCTCCTCCTCCGTCCTCCTCCTTTCTCCCTCCTCCCCCTCCACTTGAGAGGATTTGTTGCTGACCATCCGGTCAGTCCGGAGAACAATAGAGCCGGACAGGGGTCCAGGGGTCGCTCTTTGATGTGACGTGTCACCCGGCCGGAAGGACGTGATATATCATGACCTTATTGCGTTGCAAGTGCCGTAAAACTCTTACTCATACTCAAAGGAGGACGTGATGATGATATGATGACTCACGTGCCTCTGCCGCGCGGTTTGCTTTCCCCGGACATTGGTCAAATGTTTGATCAGATCAGATGGGATCGGGTTATCTTTGCGTAATGGCGTCCTGGCCGATGTACCACGAGGTATCGAGTCGGCTTCCTGGTAGAACTGAGCTTCATGGGAAGTCCATGTGGGGCGTATCGCGTTCCGTCACTCCGTACGTGTACAAACGAATGGTTTGATCCGGCAATGTCAGCTGACACGTACTTTGTGCCAAGAGGATTGGCTGCTGGCCACAATTGGTCGCTTTTAACCCTATCCGTACGTCGTGTTTTACTATCGTGTCCATACGACGTGGGGATCTCTGTGCCACCACTTAACCCTATCCGTACGTTGTGTTTTACTATCGTATCCATACGTTGTGGGGAACTCTGTGCCACCACTTTCCAAAGAGTACATAATTTGCTCGTTAATCCGATCTTGTACGCTTTGCATAGCTGTCTGTCAAAATGATTTTTTGAGAAATACTTTAAGTTTCAAAAAGATCTTCGTACTGCTAATATACTAAAATGTGAAGAATACAACCCCGGAGATACAAAATGACCCCAGGGCGTACGGATAGGGTTAAGCATAAGGGGGCTATCCCGAAAAATGCTGTTTTGAGAAAATTGAAGGTAAAGTTTTTTCCCCTTGTTCAGTTTCTTTGAAAGACAAGGAGAGTTTTTCTCTGTAACGAAACAAATATACACACCAATGAAGCCAAACTTCTCCTATAGGTAGGGTAATGTCCACTTTTGGTGTAGGTCAAGGTTCCTGGAAACCCCCGAAGTCTAGGTTAGCCAGCTTGTCCTTAAAAGCGACCAATTTTCATCCAGTCAGCCTTATAGTAAGGGTATTTGGAAAGCGCCACAGATTAAGTCCTACTTCTGTACTTTCCCTCTCTTGTTACCATCTTGTCTGTCTATCATCCTTATCTCCCCTCATGTTTTATTTTTGTCAATATTTTGTATGTCTATCTATCTATCTATCAATGTGGGTGGTTGGCGGGTGCTCTGGTGTGGTTTGCTCCTTCTTTCCTATCAAACATCTATCGTCTTTATCTCCTCTCCTTTTTTGTGTTTGTTGCTCTATTGTAAATTTTCGGCACTTATTGTGGTGCAAGTGCCATAAATCACTTACTAAAACTTTTTGGTGTCTTTACTCCAACGAACACATGGTAGTTACTTTGCCGTTAGCTGACAAAATGACTTTTTTTTTTTTCGTTTTTGGCGCCAAATTGTTCAGTTGCCCTACCTGTGTGAAAATATCCATGTTAAACTGTAACTAGTTTTTAAATGGATTTTAATTTTAATTTTGGGAAGAACACCTTTTTTAACTGGTTACGATGACAGTGTCTTTATCTCAGAACTGCTGTGAATTAATTTTAAAAAGACATTTTGTCAGCTTATAGCTGTTACTGTCAATACGTATTTGCTTGTGGGTGGTTGGCGGGTGCTCTGGTGTGGTTTGCTCCTTCTTTCCTATCAAACGTCTATCGTCTTTATCTCTCCCCTTTCTTTTTTGTGTATGGCTCTCTCTTGTGTAACACACTATCACACTATCTATTTTTCGGCACTGATATGACCTTATTGTGTTGCAAGGGCCGTAAAACTCTTACTAAAACTAATCCTAAACATTTATTTGTCCTTATCTCTCCTTTTTTGTGTATGTTACTCTCTTCTAACACATAATCTGTTCTTTGGCACTTGTTTGACCTTATTGTGTTACTAAAACTAAACTAAGCATATTTACGTCGGTGGTTGGTGGGTGCTCTGGTGTGGTTTGCTCCTTTTTTCCTATTAAACGCCTATATCATCCTCTTCTCCCCTACTTTTTAAAAATGTTTGTTACTCTCTTGTAACACCTCTAATCTTCTGGCGCTCGTATGACCTTATGCAGTTGTGAGCGCCGTAAAACCTCTTCCAAAACAATATCTCCCCTACTTCTTTTGTGTTTGTTACTCTCTTGTAACACCTCTAATCTTCGGCACTTGTATGACCTTATTGTGTTTCAAGTGCAGTTGCCGTAAAACTCGTACCTGAAACTAAGCTAAGCATATTATTTGCTTCTTTTGACTCTCAAAAACTCCTTTGGTTTTCCAGTACTGGATGTGCACGCGTTTGAGCGGCTGATGGGCCCCTGCATGGACATCATGAAGCGCAACATCGGCCACTACGAGTCGCAGCTGCTGCACATATTTGGGGACAAGGCCAACATCTCGGACCTGCGGTGAAGACGGCGCCGGCCCTAGAAACATAGATCTATTTTTTTTCCCGTTATCTCAGAATGTGACGATGATTAATTAACTTTCTCGTAGTTCCTCCTCTAGTAAATGAACTTTTGGTTTACCGCATCATTTTTTAATTTTTTTGTTTAATTTTTGTTTGTTTTTGTTTTGTTTTGTTTTTTCTTTTAATTTTTCATTTGTATTCCACGCATGTAAGAGAGAGAGAGAGAGAGAGAGTGAAAGGGGATGGAAGGAGAGAGACAGTGAGAGAGAGAGAGAGAGAGAGAGAGAGAGTGAAAGGGGATGGAAGGAGAGAGACAGTGAGAGAGAGAGAGAGAGAATGTGGAAGATTTTGATTAAAAGGTGCTGAGTGGCCTTACGACTGCGTTTTCATGAATGTGACTATATGTGTGTTGTTAGTCAGTGTGTTTGTTATTGTTTTTGTGTCGTGGGATAGTGTGTCTGTCAGTGTGTCTGTCGCGGTGTGTCGCTGTGCACTTTTCTGTTTCTCTGCTAGGTGGATATGGCATGTGTGTATTTATACATATCTCAATGTTATGTTGCCTCGTAATCTCGAGAGAAACTTGTGTTTGCTCTCCACTGATGTTGGAATTACCAAATGTTTGCAGTCAGGCGTTTGCTATTCATTTTGTTGTTTGCACTTTCGTAGCTCCCTATGTTTATATAAATTATATGTTTCATAGCACTGCAGTGGTCGGGCCCAGGTTCGAATCCCTCTTAAACATTTTGCTGTCACAAGGCTCATGTAGTGTGGGTGGTTGGCGGGTGCTCTGGTGTGGTCTGCTCCTTCTTTTCTGTCAAACATCTATCGTCCTTTTCTCTCCTCCTCCTTCTTTTTTGTGCTTGTTACTCTCTTGTAACACCTCTAATCTTCGGCACTTATATGACCCCCTTATTGTGTTGCAAATGCCGTAAAAGTCTTACTAAAACTAAAGCACTCAGTATTAGTGATAGGAAACTCGGTGAAGTGCACTCTGTCGGCTTTTCTTGTTCTTTTCGCTCGCTCTCGTTCATTTCGCTGTCTCTTCTTTCACTGCAGACCTTGCAAACTGGGGTCAGGTTATCGTAGTGAGCAATGGTCTACTTGTGTTAACTCATTCTGTTTTTAATTAACAGGTTTTTTGGCTGGACTTGGCTTTAGGTGTCAATGTGTACATCTTTGTGTGTGTGTTTGTGTATGTGTGTGTGTGTGTGTAACAGAGCAAACTGCTGCTGATAATGTTGTGCAGCTTCATGACAGACCCCACCCGCCCCACGCCCCTCCCCCACACTCCCATCAACCCCCCACCCCCACCCCCACCCCCCAGAGATCTATTGCTCAATGGTTATGTTGTTGATGTTTCTTGCCATACGTGTGATTTACACCCTGAGCTGCTAGTGTTTGTTTGTTCGTTTGTGTGTTTGTGTGTGTGTTCGTCCAAGCTGTCCACATCTCTCCACCTTGTTTCTTTTTTCTGTCACTCACTGAGAGTGAGGCAAAATATGCGTCGACAGGTAAGTTGTACTTGTGTGGTATACTAGAGGGTGCACCTGGTTCTTGAGTTAGGTACACCGGTGTGTGTGTGTTTGTGTGTGTGTGTGTCTGCACTCTATTCCTGTGATGTTCTATGTGTATATGGACGCTTCTTTTTTGTTGTAAAATGTCACTCTCTCCTGCATGCACCATGCGTACTCCACAATTTTGCTTTACATGTGCGGACAGTTTTGCGGAAGACAGCCGGGAGAGAGATGCGGTAGTTACAGCCGAGATCTGGTAGGCGCTAGATAGACGGTACTGCCAGTATTACGGGTACTTTGTGTCCCCGTATAATAATAATAATAGACAGCTTTTGTATAGCGCATATCCCCGCTCAACAGCAGGCTCTATGCGCTTTACACTATATTATTACCCCAGCGGACCATAGAACACTCCGAAACATTCTCAGCTTCCAGGGAAGCATACAGGGCAAGCAGCTGATTAAGCGCTCAAACACTAACAAACTGACAAGATCTTTCGCTGTCTATAGCCGGGTACCCATTACATGTAACAGCCATGCAGAGCTGACTTTACGTACAAATGGTACTGTCAGTATTACGGGTATTTTGTTCCCCCCGTATATAGTGGGAAATGTCACAACCGTGCGGAGCCGACTCTCCGTACAAATGGAAACGAGGTCCTAGAGAAATGTTGGCGGCGTAAGAAAGAATGCTTGTTTGAGCGGCAGCAGCAATATTGTCAGCCTTGCGGCTTGTCGTGTGTTGCCGGTCGTGTGTTGTTGGCCGTGTATCGTAGTGTACACACGTACACCGCACTTGTTGCCTCACTAGCCGTACGTCGTCGTAGCACTGCGGTGTGATGACCACAGCCCCGGGTGTAGCGTGGTCATTAATTTGTACAGACGTAAAATGTGAATTTTTTCATTGGCTAAGGCGTAGTAAAATGGCAAAAATATACCGCGTGCCACGTCAGCTTGCCATTTCCTCTGTTTGGTTGAGAGGAGAAAGTCCTTGCCTGGACATGGATGGCTGGTGCCTCTGTGAATAAATTATTGATGGTCGGGAGAAAAGGCCTTCACTGTGACCGAGAGTCGTAGATTGCTGTGGGGTTTTTTGAGCCGTCGGTAGCATAGTGGTTAGGCTACCGGACTCGTAATCGTGAGACTGCGGGTTTTATACTTACAGAATATGGCATCAATAAAAAATCTACAATTTTGACCCTAGTGTCAGTTTTCAGCCAATATCTCCATTTATGTTTTGCGAAAAGTAACTCATTTTATCGGCACGTCTCGCATATATTATTATTATTACGTGGGCTGGAGTGAGAGAGAGAGAGATAGAAAAAAAAGAGAGAGAAATGTGTGCTTTTGCAGCTGAGGGATAAAAATATGATTCTCTTCCAAACTCACTTTCAAACAGCTGCATGACATACCAAAGGGATGATGCTTTTTATTTTGAATAACATTTTGTACTGTTTATTACTACTACTATTATTATTATTATTATTATTATTACTGCTATTACTACATGACTGGATTCACACCGGTAGTCAAATCTGATTGGTTTCTTTGTGTGTCGTAGCAATGTTTGAATTTCCTAAAGCTCTTTTTCAGTCCTGTCTATGGTAGTGCCATTGTTTGTTTTGGCTTTTCTTTTGTTTTGTTTGGTTTTTTTCTTTCATTTTGCCACATTAACATTGTCCATTTTTGGTTTTTGTGTGTGTGTGTGTGTGTGTGTGAGTGATGATTGGAGCGTGTGAGTGTGGACGAGTGTCCCTCCCTCCTC